CTTCTTGTTGTTTTGTTTTTATTTGATTTGCAGAAAAGTCTTTCGCGTCTGCATCCCTTTGCCCTGCCGGATATCTCCTCTACAGAAGACTTCGAGCACCGAATGTTTAAACTGTCCAAGTCCTACGAACCAGGCGAGTTAGGCGTACCCCCCGCCGCTGTGGTAAGCCTCTCTTTTTCAGATCTAAAATTGTAGAGTGCTATGCTTTATTTCGAAAATATAATTCCAAAATCTTCAACAGCAAAGTCCTCCATTTACCATGAATAAAGTAAGGCACACAAGCTGCAATTGTCGACATCGTGGAGAAATGTCCTTGAACATCTTGCAAAATGTGGGCCAAATTGAACCTCCTTCAAATCGGCGCTAGCGTCGTGTGCCGATGACCTTGTTGTTACAGTTCATTTAAACAATGAAGGCTAATAATCGATTTCTCATGGGCGTACTGGGCCAATCGACATATATCTAAGAAAATTTACATGCGAATGTAGTGGGAGAAAAAATGACGGCTCAACTTCAAAAGACCGCACAAAGTCCATAACCGCATACTGATAGTTAGAACACGGAAATAGGCACGTCCTTCCCCTATATTGCGCTAAATTCCAGAGAGGCTACTTATTTGAATGCTAAATCTGTTCTCTTTTATTATTTTCAAATAGGATACACTTACAAACAGCCTTCGCGGATGTAAACTCTGGGGGTCTAACGGACCATTTAAGGCTTTCTGGGTTATTTTAGTAGTAAATACCATGAAATACAACAAACGTTAACGAGTGCATACTTCCTCGAGTAGTGTGAGGACGTTTTGAATCCGATATTGCATGTCTTCGACGCTGTGAGTTAGGGTTCTAAAAATCAGGGAAACGTAATCTGGGACCAAGAAGGAGCCCGCGCTTCTTCTGCACAAGTAATCGGACTTTTTGTACTTTCCAGCAATACACATGCCCATTTCATAATCTTCCAAGGACGAAGAAATCCCTCTTCCTTATACCTTGTATGCCTTCCGTACTAGCTCGAGGATGAAGAAGAAAAGACGACTTCATGCGCCAAGATAATTTAGAAGAAATGGCCAACGACAAGAGAGCCTGCTATTGCCATATCAGTGTCATTGTTGGCTGCACGCCTTGCAAGGCACGTAAACCGGTCGTAGACTAGTATACGTATGAATCCGTAAAAATTTCCTTAAATGCTTATAGCTCTTTTTTAAACCAGAATATATTTTTTATAAAATCGAAGAAAAAGTTTGAAAGGGTTTTACCTTTTCTGAAAAGTAGTTATAAAACATGAAGTTTGGTGGAATATTTCCGGGAAAGCTAATCGACTATATAGCTATCGAAGGATGATGGAAATCTATAGCCTACTTGGTATCATTTTTTATAAGTGGGGTCGTCTCAACGGTAAGCCAGCACTCTAGGCTGTATGGGCTAACTCGAAACCGCATACTCTGATTAGGATTTGCGCTCTG